AGTATGCCGCCTTTTTAATGGGCTTCTTTCTGACCGCTTATAAAATGTAGACTCTGAAAACAATGGCTAGTTGAATAGTATACATTTTATCATTGATTTTGAGTGCCTGTATTAATTCAAATATATTTTGTAGAAAACGTGCATAAAAATATTGTTTATTGTGCTCGCTTGGTGGAAAATAACGCCTTCTTTAATTATCATACTTAAGGATAGGATATGCTTCTGTTTTAGAACAATGTCTATTTAAGAGTTTTTTACGACTGTGGCGTGTTCATTCATTATATATTGCATCCGTAAATTTATTACTGCTGCCTATAATGTATACAACATGATCCACGCCTACTGTAAAATGTTATGAGAAGTATGCGGCCTTTTCCTTAAGCCGTAGTCAAAAACTTACATTTCCTTAAACAGGATGTACACAACGCGCGGTTTGTAAACCTTGAATTCAGGTGTAGCAGTCAGTAGACCTCAAATTATTCGGCAATTTAGAAACATTTTTGAAACCGAAGGATACCCTTTTCTTTAGGTATGACCTCTAAAGAAGGCGTAATTTTCTACCAAACGAGCACAATAAACAATAGTTTCATGCATGTCTACTATAAAAATATATTTGAACTTTTACAGGCAGTCAAAATTAATGATAAGAATGCATACTTTTTAATTTGCTATTTTTTTACAGAATCTACGTTTTGTAAGCGGTCAGAAAGAAGCCCATCAAAAAGCCGGCATACTGACGTGACTGGAAAGACTTGAGATTAGAATGCACGTTAATCATATTTTCAATCCTATTTGACGTTGGTTTGCGAGTGATTACAAGTCTTTAGCAAATTGCGGTATTTTGCTTGCAGCACTTGCCATATTGTATGGGATATGTGCGCTCACTAATCTGTTACTGGACCTGCTACTCCTCTCGCGCCTTCGGTAGAAAGCCGTACAGCAATTAATATAAAATTTAGAATGAAAGTATCTTCGAATATAACGAAAACCATCGGTGATTTGTTAGTCATCTGCAGCTAGCCACACCCATCTGTCATTCCGACCATAATCGAGGGGTCAGCAAGTCCATCGTAAATGCCTAGAGTACTGAACTTTAAACCCAAAAATGCAGGTTTGAACCTCGGAGATAGCAAAACCGTGTGGTTGAGTATGGCTGACTGAATACCGTTAATACTCCTAAAATGGTCATTCCCGTCGCCGTTGTCGCTGCTGTGAGTCATAACTTGCATATATCTACTCAAGTGGTGGACAGTAGAACGTTAAGAAGAAGAAAACTTGATCGCTAGGACAATACGCTTATTCGCATGACGTTTAAGACATCCGTCGCGGATTCATCATCGGAGATATGAACGTTAAGTAAACTGATGCGACTGCCTGAAAATGATCAGGAATGCTGTTATTTATTACCATGTTGTGTTTTTAGAGTAGAAATCTCCGAAAATTATTGTCATCTGTAATGGCGACCAAGCAAATTGCCGATCTTTTCCTATTTTCTGCCAACTCAGATTGGCTAGTTTTAGATGCCTCGATATTCCGAAAACACGTTCATCATTTCCGCCGGCGAAATCCCCAATAAGATCCGCAAATTCTTATTTTCCAAATCAGGCTATGAAGACACAAGTGAACAGGGGCTTAGTCCCGCGAAGGTTAGCGGAAAGTAAAAGTTTCCGATAATACATTTGTTTCCTTGAAGTGCACACTGGAAGTATAAACTCATCCTAAGCATTCCGGTTTCCATTTTTTAACTCTCAAAACCACTCAATCTGACCGTAGCTATTCAAGCTTTGCCGTCACCTGTATTGAAAGAAGGGTTGGTACTACGCTTAGACTGCCAATGGGACGAACACAAGGCTGTTAGGACACCAAAACTCCATGGAAAACCGTTTGATTAATTAAAACGCACCAGAAATGGGCAATCCATCCGAAATCTCTTTACGTACAAGCTGTACGCGAAAGAAAGGCTATTAGTGTCTACTGTTTGCTGTCCGCCCGAAAATAGTAAATTGTAGTCATTGCAACGCTACTTTACGAACTGTGTCAGATAATTTAAGCATATTCGGATGATGT